AACTTGTATTGACGTTCATTTCAAGTGATCTTGCAAAAAAAAACATTCATACCTCATGTTATATACTAGCGAGTTTGTTTGCCCTTCGGGCAAACGTTCTGGACGCACCTTCGGCATTTTATGATCAACGAATATGACTAAGGCATTTAAAGAATCTGTTTTTGAAGCCCACCCCTAATGATGAGGTCAAACAAAATGTATTACATACATTAACAAACGAAAAAAATGTATTACATAACTTGTTATTGTCGGCGTCATATGACTTCTAGCAAGAGGACCACCAGGTACAAATTCAGTGTGTCGTTTAATATTTCCATAATTAATTTAATTCCCGCCTATGGTCGACACATTCTTCTTTGCTTTATATATATAAAAAACATAATAGCAGACACAAGCTCATTACTTCGGCGATTTAACGTAATACTTATTTGTAGACTACGTTGACTGTATGGGGAACATTGTCATATTCTAATATACAGTAGATTTGTAAACAAGGACTCTAATAAAGTCTCTTTTTTAAATTTTCCTAAGACAGCTGTCCATGATAATATACGTAACTCCGTAAATGCAGCCGAGAGCTATTCATTTTCCCGTTTCGTTAAAGAATATGTGCATAGAAATGGGATTGGGCCTAAGCGTCCGCAAGTGGATTGGGCATTGTCGCATTGAATCACAATGTCGGAGGAAGATATTCCTACCGTTTTTCTGCCAGAAAAACACGTTACTCATTCGCAATCCTATCTGCACCCACCAACCAGTTTCGTTCCACCTAGCCTATGACATAGAAAGGCATAGGCCAGAAGGCCTCGCAACTCAGGCCAAGGCAGCAAAATTCTTCATGAGAAGAGTCAAAAACCTGGATGAGAACGGGTCAAGATTGGTGCAGGCCTGAGCGTCTGTCCAAGGGTTAGATACAGGCTTGCTAAATCAGTTCCCTCAGGGCACATATCTTCAGAGTCGAACTTAATTCATAGTACGCAACTCGCAAGCTATTTGTTTTCCTTTGGACTTCCTCCAAGGAAGATAGTGTAAGCGAGTGGTATTACCTTAAGCGTCAAACCGTGGGTTAAGCCTAGGCGTACGAAATCAAATCCCCCCTCATTCATTGACTAGTAATGAATGAAATAATGACAGGTTAATGGATCATTTGTATGTCACGCCAGAGTTCATGCATTGCATTTCATGAGGATAAAAAGTACAGACTTCAAGGTCATGAAATAACTTCGTACGCTGCAAAAACAATAACGGCAGCGCAGCACTTCAATTATAAAATCAACCAGTTGTGTATTTCATGAGACAAGCTCTCACACACTTGTCCATATTGAGGGGTGCGAGAACTTTCCATTCCGTCCCGTCATACATCTCAACCGAAGGAGGCTCCTGTCCACCGACGGCGTAGAGATTCCCTTCAAACGAAAGCAGACTATGACCTCCACGCTTTTCCTTCATGGTGGGTAGGAGCCGCCAGTCATTTTTCCTCTCATCATAGATGCAAACGTCTGAGAGCCTCGGATAACCGAAATTTCCACCGCCAGCGACATAGATTTCACCTTCGTGGACTGTGACACCTGGTTGGTCACATCCCCCTTGCCATGGAGACAGCTCAGTCCACGTGTTCGTCCTCGTATCCAGTCGCACATGGTTATTCTCACGGGGTTCTCCTCCAATAATGTGTAGATTGGAATTCAGTAATGCCGCCGTGGCCAAAGAACGACCATACTTCATAGTCGGTAACTGTATCCATCTCCACAATTCCAGTTCAAACTTATTCACAGATTTCGAATGCGATGAACCCCCGAGGCGGCCAGCCGAACATGAATTACCTCCACAAACGAAGATGGATTTCAGTCCAAAGGTTGATGCTGACCACAGAACCCACTCGGGTAGCGGAGGTCCGGTTTCCCATTCTTTCCTCGTCAGATCAAACACTTTCAACTTTCCCTGGTCCGTCAGAAACAACTTCCTATCCACTGCTAAGAAAGCCTCCACAAAGCGCTTTTCATCTGGCCTTACATAGGTCGTAAGGACCTGTACTGACCAGTCCCGAAGACTTAGAGACATAATCTTGGCTTCGTCTTCATATCTTCCTACGCACCAAAGAGTATGGTAATGTTCATAGACGTTGGTGCCCCTGACTCTGGTCTTTTCCACAGGGACCTTGTCTCTGAGTTGCGGAATGTGGAAATTCTTGGCCTCTATAAGGAGAGGTACGCAATAGGGATTCCCCAAACCCACCGGATCGCTACTGATACATTCCTCAAGATATTCTAATGGAAATAGAGGAAATCTGACTTGGTTCAGCAGCTTGAGCATGTGCGATGTTCTGGAGGAGTCGTGGTTAACCAACGTGGCTAAAACCAACGAAGGATCAAGAGCAATTTAATGCTCCGCTACTCGTAATGAACCCATTTTGAACATGTATAGAGACGACCAGCGTGCTAGGAAAGTAGTTTGGATGCTGCTAAATACAAATTTATCTGTGAAATTTACCTTCACCACAGCCTTAATGGAACTTCTATGAATGTCTTTTTCATACCTCACCTAATATTTCCCACGTAAAATTACGGGAAAAATTCGGCAATACCGTGATAGACCCGTTGAAAGTGGTAACTGGATAGTAGAAGAATCCAAGTACTTATGACCCGGCGGTCCGAGGAAACTTGCCGAAACTTCAGATTTCACTACATGGCTTGTGTACCGACTCTGGCTCGAACATCCTTTTTAGGCGAAGGAACATGCTGATGGGCCTACGCGGGTGTGTCTGGCACTTTTTCCGTATTTTCCACTCTGGCTCCCACAGTCAACGTTGCGGCAAAGTTACTGCGGTCGAATGTCATTCCTCGCTAAAGAATGACACATCGCTGTGGTGCCGATTGCTTTTCTTTCCCACTAAACTAAAAGCATTTTTCGTGAAAATAACCAATAACCCGTGAACAAATTGCAGCTGTTTATAAAAAAAGGCATATTTACATGAATGGAGATGGAAATCGAGATCACAGTCTTCGTTGCGAGACACAAGGCTCACCACCACACTGTGCACGCCCCTCTTCCGGTCTCTTTTGTTATCAGATTCCACTAAATACCGTCTCCCATTATATTTCTTCTACCATTTCATTCACACATCTCATTCACTTGCCCCTGCCTATAACCCCGCACCGTGCGACTGCTATCGATTCTCCTTCGTGGAACTCCTGGTTTTATAGATTTCCCCTCGTTGTTAGTCTACTGTTGCTTAGCGACGTCCACCTAAGCCATAGTGTTCCGCTTTCGCCGCATCCACCATCGACTAGTTTCGTGCACTAGTTGCACTGCCTTCGACGAGTTTTGTATTTTTTTAATCGACGCATTTTTTTAGTCCATATGGATACAATTGAGTAATTGCGTTTTTGTGATAAATGAACTTGAAAAACACGCGAGCGGAAGACAGATAGGGAGCCTGATTCCTAGCTCTCCCTCCCTAGTTGCCGTTCTGTTAATATTTCATATTTAGTCTTGAAATTTGGCTGATTATTTTTTCATTTCAATTCACGAAATACGAAGGGGAACTGCCATCTGCACCCTATAATGATTTCGATGAAACTATTCCTTTTTGAAAGTAAGAACATATAGTAAGAAAGTAAGAAAGTAAGGACATATAACAAAGGCAAGGATGAAGGAAAGGATTAGTCTTCCAAAGCAACGGAAGGGAGCCAGAACGAAGAGAAAAGGGAGTGTTAAGGTCTGCAAGAACAAGATAGAGGCTGTGGGATAACAACTTTTCTGAATGTTTTCTCTGAATGTTCTTGTCATTCTTTTAGAAAAAGTTTTTCGTAACCGAGAGAGAATTTCGTCATAACTCCACAGTAATTTAATTACCTGTGAAAATTAACAGCTTTCATTACGTAACATTCAAGTAAATAATGTATCATGTAAGAAAATAATTTAATAACATGGAAGAAAATAAATTTTCCTGGATGCTTAATAGTTTCAGATAATTGTAAGCAAAACATAATAAAGATCAGTCGGGATGAGCCCCGAGGAGCTTATGCTACCTTTTTCAAATAGTATCTTTCGCACACGGGCGCAGAACTTCTTTAGCATTGAGGTTTACGTGGAAATGTCTTCATCGGATCCATTATCATGCTGTTCAGCCTATTCGAAAAACTGATGAACGGCAGGGCTAAATTATGCTATTCTTTCCAACTTACCAAGCCATTCTGGAGTTCTAAACTCGTTACGTCGAATAAGTAGCGTTTCCTTTAAGGAGCAAGAGACAAGAGATGAAAAGGCAGTAAAAGACTGCGCCGACGTATTGACTCCATTGCGATTGAGACGGAGTCAGAACGTAGAAACATCACCTTTTAGATTCTTCATTTCATTAAGATGTTCACTGTAAATAATGAGACATTCGGCTAGACACCACGACATTGAGGCGAGGAGAATCTCTTTGAATTTTAAAACGGAATGACTTGCTACAAGAACTGCATTTGTTTCCCACTTTCTAAGAGCTAGGAAATTATCAAATGTCATTTTTAGGTTTTCTTTCTGGTGTGCCGGAAGCTTTTCTACATACCCTCTTACAAATAAAACCACTGGAGCCAAGCAGCCAATGACAGCTCGGAACCAATGCGCGTCACCGCCGCGCAGCATGCCGCAAAGCCCGCACCAAAACTCCCTCCAGCCTAAAAGACCTCCCCCATGCCGTAATCTCCATGAGAACCTTCTCTGGTGATTGAGGGAGTGGCACATCCTTGTGGTGGGACAATTTGTTTGAAGGTGGGCACTGAGGAAGATTTGATGGCATGGTTTCATGAATTTTCTGTGCACACAAAAACAGAGTATATTTCAAACAACCAAAAAGATCGAAGTGAAGGAAGGAAGCTAATATTTTCTAAGAAATTCACGTCAACATTCATCTGTAAATAAAACTATTACCTCCAAGCGTGACACAAATTGCCCTGCAACTGTGCACCTGAAGATGAAAAAGGAGCCCCTAAGGTGCCGATTACAACAAGCAGCTGATGGGTGAGCATTCTCTCTTGTCATGCCCCTTATTATTATTATTATTATTATCAGCAAAATTGTTGGCTTCTTCTCATGGGCTATGATCCTGCTTCAATCTTCTGTAATACTGATCAATCTGGGTTGACACATTGTCATTATAGGTTCTTCGGTGTGGCTGTTATATGGTGGCACCATAATTATAGAATCCTCGTGAACAGCCTCAAATTCTTGAGAATGACTGAGTCTGTGAAGGAAAAAGCCAACCAACTTTTTGCGGTGTCGGAGTATCAGCTGCAAAATGTATCCTTGAAGATCAAATTTACAAAGGCCCCAACTTTGCCCTAATGTTTTATGATCAACATGTGAATCATAGCCTGAGACAGTTATACTGGCTCAATTTCAATTGGCAAACAGATCACTATGGAGAGAAAGATGAAGGGGCAATTGCCTTGGCATTGGAAAGCCGCAAAGAAGAGCTGAAGCTGAAAGGTAATTGCCTAAATAAGTAATTTTTTTTTACAAGGATGTGATGGAAAGGTTCTGCAGTTAAGAATTAATTTCAGCAAACAGAAAATGGAGGGAAACTATTGGTTGAACCCCTCTTCATCAAATCACTGCTGGATTCTCATATTTCATAGTTGGAATGCTATACATCAGTTCAAAACAGAACACTGAACATTTCATTCAAAGAACAGCTTGTAAGCACATCTGTCCTTGAATGTGGGCTCCTTAGTTGTGGAACTTAAAGGGTTGTATTAGCTTTAACCAATCTTCCTTCTGATCCTCCACATTGAGTACAACTCAAGCACCTTGTCACTAGAATTCCTGATGTTCAACACTTCAACACTTATAATTTATGGAGATTTAATTATTTTATAATTATTTATTGAAGATTAAGTTGGGCCACCGAGCTCAGTGATTTAGCAATTTTGCAATTCATATCATGAATTTCTCTCTGAACTCTCCAAATATTCAGGCCATTTCATACTCTTATGGGGACCTTCCTTTGTCATCAATTGCTCCATTGACAAACAGTTGTATCAAACTTGGAGACATTAACTGGGGAGAAGATAGTGCTTGGATTCAGACTTCAAAAACTTCAGATGAATGTCAGAGAAAGCAGCAAAATGGCTGATGCAGTTTACTCTTGAGGTGAACAGGAAACTTTTGTGCTCAAGTTCTGTTAAGGAAGACTGACAGAACTAAAAGTTGTTTCTTGAATTGGGCACCTTTGATCTGTGCACTCTGAAAATAACATGCCAGATTTTGCATTTTATGCATTCAGCTTTTTGCAGTAGTATTAACAGACTACTTGTAGCTATTCATGGGTCATCATCAGAACTTTCTTATCAGTCCTTATATTCTGTGTTGATTTTCCACACTATTTCATAACTGACCAATTCATGTCCTTTTCTCCTTAGGATTTCATATCTCTTCTCATGATGAAGAACCTCTAATCTGTGCTATCACAAGCCCTATCATGAGGCGAGCAGCACTCTTACCATCAGCAAATGAGATAATATTTGTAGATACCACATCAAGCATAGATTCAAGTGGAGTCAGTGTCACCTTCATGTTGGTCCCAACTCTAGCTGGAGCTGTACCAATATGTGTTCTTCTTCATCGTGGGCTTTCTCTGGATGCATACGAGAAAATATTTGCATCGGCCAAAATCGTTACAGGAATATCTCCAAAAGTATTCATGACTGATGACTCCATTGCTGAGTGGCATGCCCTTGCAAAAACATGGGAGAGTGCAGTTTTGCTTCTCTGTTGCTTCCATCGAGCTCAAGTAAGCAGTTTAGTTCATTCAGTTCTTGTGACAACATTATTGTTTCATACATCTAAAAACATATCATAATTCATCCAAGACTACAGATACATTAAAGAGGTTTGCATTAAAATTAATTGTCCCATCACAAGGATGTGCCACTCCTTCCTCAATCCCACCAGAAAAAAAAACAGTACAATAGAAATTACTTTAGAGGGAAAACATATCTGACCTGGAAGCTGACACCACAATCACTTTTGATAGCAGAATTTTCTGGAACATAGGATTTGAAACGGACAATATCAAACCTTGATGCAGTTTTGCTCTTTCCTAAATGGTTTCTACAGGCAACTTGGCAATGGCTATGTGATGGTCGACATGGGATAGGCAAAGGGGAGTGACAGGAGCTTATGCACACTTATGGAGCAATCATGTGGTCTAGAAGTGTGGAGGATGCAAGGAGTAATTTTTATGCTGCAATAATGAAAGCCAAGGACTTCCCTCAATATCAAGTAAGCACAGGAGAAACTATCTGTTACTATGTATATAAGAATTGTGTTTAAGCCAATGAGTTTTTTTTTCACTTTTAATAGTATGAAGAAATGTTTGACTCTGTTTGATGATTTAGACTAATAGATCATAGTTAAAATAATTCAAGACCTTAAATTGCATCATTCAGGAATACTTGGAGAAGCAGTGGGAGGCGCGAGAACAATGGGTGCTTTCCTTTCGTCGAGGGCTACCCACACGTGGACACAACACAAATAATTTTTCAGAAGCGACAATAAGAATTTTGAAAGACATCATTCTCTGCCGCATAAGAAGTTTTAATCTTGTGGCCTTCATGGAGTACTTCTGTGACACCTTCGAGAAGTATTTGCAGGCCAGGATTCTTTCTGCAGCCTCAAGTGGGGGATCAGACATGTTGCGACAATACAGGTGGAGTGCTAATAAGCACTAGCATTTCTGTTTTTCCTCTTTTCAATTTTTTAAAAGCCATATGGATTAATGAGCAAATATTTTGATGTAACTTTTTAATGGCTTGCAGCTGATTTCAGGGAAATATAAGATACCTACATTTTCTCATCACTTTGCCATTCCTTTAATGGGATTCTTCAAACTGAGTGAAGCTCTAAAGTGTACTTTTAGCACTGTTTCATCTACGCTAAAAATTTGAAACACATTTTCATCATAGGCATTTCAATATGACTTCAGGATGGAAAGGGAAAAATTAACATTTTCATTTTTACATCTTGAAATCTACTTCCAAGAGGTATAAAATATATTTGGGGGTTGCACAATAGAACCAAGAATAGAGCCAAACTATACTTTCTCATCTCAGGCCACAAGAATGATTAAGGAGGTTAGGGGACTATCATACGAGAATCGTTTAGAAGTGATGGGCGAAATCGCCTCTTGATATCACTAACTCTCCTGACTCCTGAGGGCTATCTTGTCAAGATCATGTGACATCAAAAGTATCTCCCAAGAAAATGGCACAAAATTCACTGTTGGGGAGTATGAAGTTGATCCAGTGCATGGGTTTTGTGATTGTTCAGCTAGAAGCAGCTCCAATAAGGATTAAGCAGAAGGTATATATTGTAATTTAAAACCGAAAATATGTGATTTGACTTAAAATAAATAGCAGTATTGCCCATCCAGTCCCAGGAAGGGCCACTTCTAATCCACAAAGACCAGTAAAATTCTCATTTGTCATACTTGTGGCCTTCCTCCTCTTCTGCACCCCAAAAACCAGTTTTGCCACAAAAGGAAGGTAGGGGGTTTCAGGTTTGAGAGTTTTTGACAGGATATAAGAAATGTCTCTCCATTAAGTGCTCATGCCATTTGGTCATTTCTGGGCCTGGATGAACCTATGATCTTTTATCAGAGCCTAAACATGCACTGTAACACCTTGGCATATATTGGGTTCCATGAATATCACCTTTTCTCTGCAAGCCACTTCCACAATATATGGCTTGTTGCTACTGAAGTCTCTACCTAATACTCAAGCTTCCTTATTCCTTTGAATCATTTTCATTTCTCAGGGCTAGATCATGCAAGCAAAAAATCCCTACAGAACATGTGTGGTTTTTTTGAAAACCTAAAACAAGATATTAGAGCCATCCAGAGTCCACATGATCCCTTGCTGCTGGCTGTGAAGAGACTTGAGAAGACTCTATCTACTCAAGTTGACAAGGCAACTATACTTCATTCTTGGTGAGTTTTCAGCATATATGGTGTATTTGCACCATTAGCCTATTGTTGCCAGATGTTAGCCTCTGAAGAGGCAAACAGAAACAAGGCATTTCTGCTTTGCTTTATCTCTGGGATGCTCAAACTATAGTCAGAGGGGATGATTTGGATGCCACATAAACAACTTCAATCATGTGCAATGACAATCCTGTCTGCATATTTCATCATACCAAATGAACTAGGTTCAGGATAATGTATAAAAGCAGTTAAAAATGTATCAGCACCCCTAAATCATATGTAGAAAGCTTTGATGGGCTGAGCCAAGTGGCTGAGTGGTTCCAATTTCTAAATGAAACCCAGAAGGGAAGGGAATAAAAAGAGTGGCAGTGAGCTTTCTCCATTACCAATGAAACCCACATGCACATAGGGAGAGTCTACTTAGCATGAGAACAAACCTGCCACTCTACATGCCACATTCAGGATATACTGGTTTGGTACTTGAAAATTAATATTGTCTGTCATAGGTTTAAGCGAACCATGACCTGCCCCTATAGTCCCCTACAGAACGAGGGCCAATCTCTGATTGATTGCACTGCCATGGTCTCTGATTTAACATTACATGTGCCAAGCAAGCACTCCATTTTTTATGCATATCATAATGTGTCTGTTACCATACATGTTTCCCAACCAATAAAATTGTCTTTGTAAATAAAACATGGAATGCTTTGATGTAAAATGTGTTCTTGATAATTTTGTCGTGCAGGTGCAAAAATTGCTCATGTTTGAAAAGGCAGAGGATCATCAAAATTCAACCTACAGCTAGTAGCAGGAGGAAGTCAGTTCATAGGGGTGGGAGATCCTTGACTGTGAGCCAAGTGAGAGCCCATAAGTTGGCAACAGTGATAAAGGATAATCATTTGCCAACAAAGAGGCACTAAATCAGAAGTGCTCTGGGTCCCCTTCTTTGTTCCTGCTTCATTCACAAAGTAACTGAATAAATACATATCAGAGGTGTTGTTAATCACAATGTGGCCTTCTGTAAGGCTACATTGATACTGAAGTTGCTAGTGTTTCAGTCCAAAAAATGGTTTAGAAAAACGAGCTTATTGAATTTTCACAGGAGCTTATGTTCCTCCTACAAAGATGTTCAAATAACAATGTCAAGTCTCACTATATGCAAAGTGCCGCCATTAACAAAAAATATATATTCAGGAGGGTTAGGCCCATTTCATTCATGAGAATGTCAAAGTTTTGATAACTGCGAGATAACTCAAATGATATTCACAATGGGGCTTAAATTTAAATGTCTCTTGACATTCCCAGGCGGGGTTACGGCTACGAGCAAACAACTTCGAGAAATTTCACTCCTACAGCCTCCAATTTTTCTTGGAACTGGAAACACTGGAAACATGCCACATCCATTGGGTCTCTATTTATCTAATATATAGACGATCGTGACTGCTGACTGACTGACTGACTGACTGACCTGGGGGCTCATTCCAGGGGGTCTCATTTTGTAAGCCTAGGTTTCAGCTATCTTCATGTCTTTTGCAGGTTCAACCACTGTCTCAAGGACTGTCTGAGATTCCATTGCAGGTTCACCCAAAATACAGAGGGCAGTGGATACAGAAGTTGACACGTTGGGGTGTCTGGCATCAATGGCTGAGTAGAAAAAAATGAATAGATCAGGGTGCTACAATGTGCACAATGGATAGCCAAACTATTTCTTTAAAAAAATGACACATTGTCAAGCAAAACAAGAAATTTAGGGAAAGATTCCTATAAATAAATAAATAAGGTTCAAAGTGCAGCCCGTAATGATGTCACATTACCTGTGGGAACCATTGTGTCAAAGAAGAACACATTTGGAGCCTCATGTCCCAAAGCCAGGTATGCAAGTGCCAACTTGTCACTGGGACTATTGGGGATAGGGACATTTGGCAGAATGAAGCTATAAGACGGACGCTTAGGCCTAAGCCATTCTCAGGCTCCCCTTGCCTTCAACAAAACGGAAGGAACGTGAGTAGCTGATGGGTTGTCGATTCCAGAGAAAGTCTAACTTCGAAGGCCCAACTTTGGGGGTCCATGCCCTGGGGGCACGTTTTGGGGGAGGGGTTGGGGGACTGATTTCGCAGGCCTAGGCTCAACCCATGGATGGATGCTTAGGCTAATACCACTCTCATACATTTTCTTCCTTCATGGAAGCAGGAGATAAAATAAATAGCTGTATCATTCCACACCTTGGATGAAGTTTGACATAGAAGGTA